GAAAAATCATATGAAAATTAAAATCGAACTATTTTTTCTTTCTCATCACTACGTTAAAAAAATCAACACCTTGGTTTAAAAAAAGTGAATTTGCAGTTACATTCATATTAGTATAGCACAGTGATTCCCAACCTGTGGTCACCAGACCATTGGGGGTCCGCGAAGATAATACCATCTCATTAAACAAGTTTTTTAATTCTGCTGTTCTTTTAATTGCACACTCAGTTATATATGTCTTTTATTTGATAGTGAAAAATGGAAAAACAAGTTAATTATTCATGGGATCCGTGGGTAAAAAATAATAAAAGAGGAGTCCTTGGTGGTGAAAAGGTTTGGAACCGCTGGTATAGCACATTTGCTATTAATAAATCAATAATATATATATATACACACACAAGAATATTTTAATTATTGTAAATCTATCCTCTTTTACGAGGTAGCTAAAGAAAAAGTATATTGTGAAAACAGCCACAGGTGAAACCTGAGTCGAACTAGAAACCTTCTAAAGACTTATTGTTATGCTACCTGCCTATCAGAAGGATGAAAAGAATGGCACCAACATAAGAACAAGATTTGGGCATACAATACATCCAATGGAATCACGGTCTGAAGGATGTCTGTGACAAGCTGCTTAATGCGAAAAGTACCCCAGGAAAGTCCACTCAGCAAGGAAAGTCTAATCGGGAGAGTGGTGTATAGGTACGTGTAAAGGACACATAAGCTCCACCTTTATCTCGTTGCAGCGACTCCAATGACCCTCTGCATCATCATCTTTAGCGAGTTGTGTGAGAGTTATTGGTGAAGTCCCTTAGAAACATCTCAAAGGATTATAACTAACAGGCAGTGAAGATATCAGTCAAGTCCATGTAAAGTGACTTTCATGCTTTATGGAGATTATCCCTGGGAGCGAGAAATAGTGTTTTTTTATAGCAAAGCCACATCGGGCTATCTGCTGTGTCTACCGAGGGGAATCGAACCCCTGATTTTAGCGTTGTAAATCCGAAGACTTACCGCTGTCCCACTGAGGACAATTGAGAAAGAGAAGACTCTAGAACTACTGCTGAAATCTGATGACTTTGGATGGAGCTGGCCAAAACAGTTGTAGATGATCTTCTTCTCATCACTATAAAGTAGACCAGTGGTCGGCAACCTTTTCTGATCGCGGGTCAATTATTTTTTTTGTTGAAAAATTTAGCAGTGATAATCATATAATTATTAATACCGGTGCATTTATTTTAAATGTGTATGTTTATTTACATACAAAAAAAATTAATATACACCTGGAAAAAAGTTAAGCACCCCCGTGTTTTTTTCAAGTGATTCAGATTCGACGTTCTTGTGACTGATTATAAATTACCATTCAAT